GTCCCACTCGTGAAATAAATTCCATATTCATCTACAAAACATTGAATATTCTCTATTTATATGACACCGGTAATGGGTCGGTTTGCCCCAATTACATGTTGGCTCTGAGTGGATTTGCCTCTAGTGGTTCACCCCGATTATACCTGTACATGTAACCTGTATTTAAAGGCATAAAACCCATGTAAAAATTTTTGCCTGTTTGGATTTTTAGTCTTTTGCGATAAATCACTAATGTTCTATGTTTGTGGTTTTTGCGTGTGTGCTATGGGAAAGGTTTATATTGTATATCTTAAGCAATATCTACTCAGTAACTTATTGATCAGATCAAATATGTTTTAAATTAGAGACTAACAAAACCATATTTTATGGTTTTATATGTTTCTGTTTTAATAAAAAAAAATTATAAATTTTTTTTTTCATAATTTTAGAAAAAAAAAAGCTGGTAGGAGATTATTAGAATAAAAATGAAATGATTAAACTGAAGTTATTTATTTAACATACTATGAAACTTGTTTAATTTGGATGTTGTATATTCTGAAATCTTGTGTAAGACGATCTTTAAGTTCCTTTCAATAAAGTTCAATTGTTTAAAATGTTGACTTTTTTGGAATATGTTGTCTTATCTGACAAATTTCTTTGGAATCAGTTTGTCCAATTAATTTAAACATTGATAAAGTTATTATTTTCCCATGTTCATGATTTTTGAAAGAAAAGTATGTATCATCTGTCATTAAAACTGGAAATAATTATTTAATATTAATAAGCAACTTAGAGGCTAACTGAATTTAATATCAGTGCTCAATAATTATATTCATCTAAACACCCACTGCATGATCAAATGACTTTATGTTTGCACAAATTCACTCAGGGTGAACAGGAAAACAGTGCAAAATCATGCATGAACAGGTAGCATGTACAGGTAATTGGAGTGAAACCACCCGGATTCACAGACTCATGTTTTGAGATGTTTATTCAGGTGACACTTATACTGAAGGTGATATTTTATAATGTTGCCTCTGCTCTTCAATTTAATATTAAACAGTGAAAGAAATTAAGGTATGCAATGTATAGTTAAGGAATATTTATCAATTTCGAATTAGGCCATTCTAAGTTTTTTTTTTTTCTACTTTTAGCATCTGCCTTTGTTTTTGACACCCCATACCAGAAAAAACAAAGCCAGAAGTCCTGCAATTAATTATTCTGGTCGAAATCGCTGAATTCTGACAATTTCTTTATATATTTGTCTACAATACATCATTTTAGGAATATTATAAGCATTTAATACCTTGATTTGGCTGAAGAATATATCTTTCTACAAGCAAAATAGATGAATGAAATAAAATTCTTTTAATGACCCCATTTTTTATGACTATAAAGTCTGTGTTTTATTTTTTAGTTTGTGTGGTGTTTTTTTGCGAATAGGTAGGTAGGTTTTTGAAAAATGGGTGGAAGCTAAACAGAGAAAAAAAATTGGAATGGCCTTATTTTAAACTAGTTCAATATGTATTGCTGGCTAATGCTGAAAGCAAAATTAACTAAATTCACATGAATGATAACATTAGAAGCTAGCAATCTTGCACCTTAAACGTTTCTGATTCAGAATAGTTATCTGTCCTTGATGAAAAGAAGAAAATTCTATTATTGTCAAAATAATTATAGTAGATGATTCATTTCATTTCATATGGTCCTTATGAAGTTTTTTTTAAATAACCCCAACCAATTTTTGGCATTTCATGATTATCTCCCCTTGGAAGAGGGTGTGGCCCTTCAATGGAACAAATTCTAATCCCCTTTACCAAAGGATACTTTGTACCAAGTTTGGTTCAAATTCGCCTCGTGGTTCTGGAGGACGAGATGAAAATGTGAAAAGTTTTCAACAACAACAATGATGAAAACAACAGACAACGGACAAATTTCCATCAGAAAAGCTCACTTGAGCCTTTGATTCAGGTAAGCTAAAAAGAGGCCCATGGGCCACAATGCTCAAGTGAGTCACTTTTGCCCTGCTGTTCTGCATTAGATCCCCTCCATGTACTCCTCATGTACTTCTCTGTATAATTTAATCACCTTTTGTGGCCCCATTATATAGACAGGGACTATGATTTGAACAAAAATGGATCTAACTACCAGAGGATGCTTCCACATTAAGTATGATTCATCATGGATTTGAGACAATTTACAATCTATGCAAACTCAGAGAGATTCCACATAAGTTTCAGCTTTCCTGGTCTAATGGTTCTTGGGAAAATAATTTTTAAAGATTTTTCCTATATATTTCAAAATAAAACTTTGATTCCCAATTGTGGCCCCATCCTAACCCCAGGGGCCATGGTTTGATCAATTTAGAATCTACACTATCTCAGAAAGCTTCCTTATAACTTATAGCTTTTCTAGTCCATTGGTAATTTAGAAGATTTTATAAGATTTTTCCTTTAAATTTAAATGTAAAACTTTGATTCCCTATTGTGGCTGCACCCTTTCTCTTGGGGTCATGATTTGAACAATTTAGAATCTACACTACCTCAGGATGCTTCCATTAACTTATAGTTTTTCTGGTCCAATGGTATTTGAGAAGAAGATTTTTAAAGATTTTTTCTTATATATTTTAATGTAAAACCTTGATTCTCTATTGTGGCCCCTCCCTATCCCCTGGGGTCATGATTTGAACAACTCAGAATCTACACTACCTCAGGAAGCTTGCACATACATGTAAGTTTCAGCTTTCCTCGTCCATTGGTTCCTGAGAAAAAATTTTTTAAAGACTTTTCCTATTATTTTCAATGTAAAACTTTGATTCCCTATTGTGGCCCCAACCTAAGCCCAGGGGCCATGATTTGAACAATTTAGAATCTACACTACCTCAGAAAGCTTCCTAATAACTCATAGCTTTTCTGGTCCAATGGTAATTGAGAAGAAGATTTTAAAAGATTTTTTCTATATATTTTAATGTAAAACTTTGATTCCCTATTGTGGCCCCACCTTAACCCTGGGGGCCAAAATTTGAACAATTTAGAATTTACACTACCTCAGGAAGCTTCCACTTAAGTTGCAGCTTTTCTGGTGCAGTGGTTCTTGAGAAGAATTTTTAATGACCCCAACCTATTTTTGCCTTTTCTTGATTAGCTCTCAATTTTAACAATTTAGAATCTCCTTCAACCAGGAATGCTTTGTACTAATATGGTAAAAATTGGCCCAGTGGTTCTTGAGAATAAGTTAAAAATGTGAAAAATTTACAGAGGGACAAACAGATAGACAGACTGATGGATGCCATGTGATCAGAAAAGCTTACTTGAGCTTTCAGCTCAGGTGAGCTAGAAAATTCAAAAGTTTATGACAAACAATGAACAATGGATGTCTGAAAGATAAACACGAGACCCATGGGCCACAACACTCACCTGAGTCAATATATCCCTGTTGTTGTTCTTCATCAGCAGATTTCTTCTCCTTTATATTCATATGAAATCTTTGATCGCCTGTCATGATTTGAACAAACTTGAATCTACACTACCTTAGGATGCTTCCATATTAATATGACTCATCATGGCTTTGTTGTTCTTGAGAAGAAGATTTTTAAAGATTTTTCCTTTATATGTTCTTTTGAAAAACTTTGATCCCTAATAATGGCCCAAGCCTACTACTGGAGGATGCCTTGAACAAACTTGAATCTACAATACCTGAGGATGCTTCCATATCAACATGACAAATTATGGCTTTCCTGTTCTTGAAAAGATTTTTTCTTTATATTCCTATGTAAAACTTTGATCCTACATTGTGGCCCCACCCTACCCCAGGGGTCATGCTTTGAACAAACTTGAATCTACACTACCTGACGATGATTCCATATCAATATGACTAATTGTGGCTTTGTTGTTCTTGAAATGAAGATTTTTTTTCTAAATATTACTATGTAAAACTTTGATCCCCTATTGTGACCCTGCCCTAACCCCAAGGGTCATGATTTGAACAAACTTGAATCTACACTACCTTAGGATGCTTCCATATTAATATGACTCATCATGGCTTTGTTGTTCTTGAGAAGAAGATTTTTAAAGATTTTTCCTTTATATGTTCTTTTGAAAAACTTTGGTCCCTAATTATGGCCCAAGCCTACTACTGGAGGATGCCTTGAACAAACTTGAATCTACAATACCTGGGGATGCTTCCATATCAACATGACAAATTATGGCTTTCCTGTTCTTGAAAAGATTTTTTTCTTTATATTCCTATGTAAAACTTTGATCCTACATTGTGGCCCCACCCTACCCCAGGGGTCATGCTTTGAACAAACTTGAATCTACACTACCTGACGATGATTCCATATCAATATGACTAATTGTGGCTTTGTTGTTTTGAAATGAAGATTTTTTTCTATATATTACTATGTAAAACTTTGATCCCCTATTGTGGCCCTGCCCTAACCCCAAGGGTCATGATTTGAACAAACTTGAATCTTCACTGCCAGAGGATGCTTCCATATAAATATGACCAATCAGGGCTTTGCTGTTCTTGAGAAGAAGATTTTTGAAGATTTTTCCTATATATTCTTATGTAAAACTTTGATCCCCCATTGTGGCCCCACCCTACACCTGGGGGTCATGATTTGAACAAATTTGAATCTACACTATGTAATGAAGGTTTCACTTAAGTTTCAACTTTTCTGGCCCAATGGTTCTTGAGAAGAAGATTCTTAAAAGATAACACCAAATTTTTACTAATTCCTAATTATCTCCCCTTGAAAGAGGATGTGACCCTTCATTTGAACAAACTTGAACCCCCTTCACCCAAAGATGCTTTGTGGCAAGTTTGGTTGAAATTGGCCCAGTGGTTCTGGAGAAGAAGTCGAAAAGTGAAAAGTTTACAGACGGACAGACAGACAGATGGACTACAGACAAAATGTGATCAGAAAAACTCACTTGAGCTTTCAGCTCAGGTGAACTAAAAAACAGATAGCAATAGGTATATGTAAATAATAACTACAACATAAAATTTTCTTATTTTACCTCTGTGAGCATTACTAGTAATGTTCCAAGAGTATGCTTTGGGTATCGTATGAATCGCAGATCTGGAATAGATACAACCTCCTGTTTTCCGATACTAATATGTGCTTTGCGATTATCACCAAGCCTGAAATTGATCAAAAAAATATCTGAAACTTAAAATATGTCCCAGGGTGGTCTCTAAGACCCAGGGGCCAGGGAATTTCCCTGCCTATAATGATGTAATCCCCCAGTTATTTCGGATTTCCTCCTAAACCCCCCAGTAAGGGAGGAACCCCAGTTCCACTTTTACTTTTTAAATGTCCCCTTCTATTTCAATTCTTAGGGTCAACCCTGATGTCCATAGGAAATGGATACCCCACCTATGGTTTATTAGTTGTTCAAGATGAAAATTTGTATTAGTGTATGAAGTTTGATGCAAATATCTTGAATAGTTTCTTTAAAACTGAGTGAGATTTTTTTTTAAACTTTCACTTAAATCAAAGGTCACAGTGACTTTGAAATAGGTTGCAACAAACCTTGTACCTAAGATGCATAAATTGGCCAAGTTTGATGATTCTATGTCTATTAGTTTTTTCCCCATATTTTGCCATAGCATTTTAATTTAAGGTCAGAGTGACACACCTTCTACCCAAGATGTATCAGCTGACAGAGTTTGATAATTCTAGGCCAAATAGCATTAAAGTTATGAGCCAGACATGAAAAAGCTAAGAGACAGACAGCTGGATGGACGGACATGAGCATAACATAATATGTCCTATCTTTAGACAGGCGTATAAAATTTGGGTTGGTAGGAAGGTGGAAAAACAAAATTCCTAGAAATTTTCTAGGAATTATATAAATCAAAAGAATGAAATCTAATTAGGGAAGTTTATACATTATTATCTTTTAACAAAGATCATAGTCAAAATCATATCTCATCTTATTGAAAAATCGGATGGAAGACCTACTCATTGCTCGCAACGAGATCTCATCTAGTTAAGGTCTTCTGTCTTCACGGAAGACTTATATTGATTCTACTGTTTCTTATTATTATCATCATTTATTTAGGTCTTCCCTTTTCAACGGAAGACCTATAGTGATTCTACTGTTTCTTCTTCTTATTATTTTTATTTATTATATTTTTGACTAAATTTGTGCACGCAATTTCTCAAAGACTATTGGACAGATTTACATGAAATTTTCAGGAAAGATGTGTCGTAACATGAACTTGATCCATCTGAGAAAAAATTTGGAAATTTACTTCTGGTGCCAAGTTACAGACCATTTTCTGAATTTAAAACAAGAGACCCATGGGCCACAACGCTCACCTGAGTCAATATGGCCCTGCTGTTCTTTGTCAGCAGATTTCTTCTTCTATATATTCATATGTAAAGCTTTGATCAACTGTTCTAGGCATAACCTATCCCCATTTGCCATGTTTTGAATGAAATTAAATCTAAACTTTCTGAGGATGCTTCTATATTCATATAACTAATCATGGTTTTGCTGTTCTTGAAACAGAATTTTAAAGATGTCTGCCATCCTACCCTGGGGGGAAGGAAGGGAGGGGGGGTTCAAGATTTGAACAAACTTGAATATACACTACCTAAGGATGCTTCCATATCAATATGACTAATTATGGCTTTGTTGTTCTTGAGAAGAAGATATTTCTTATATATATTCTTTTGTTAAACTTTGATCCCCGATTATGGCCCCACCCTACTACTGGAGGATGCCTTGAACAAACTTGAATCTACAATACTTGGGGATGCTTCAATATCAAAATGACTAATCACGGCTTTCCTGTTCTTGAAAAGATTTTAAAAGATTTTTCCTATTTATTCCTATGTAAAACTTTGATCCCCTATTGTGGACCCACCCTACCCCCGGGGGTCTTGATTTCGACAAATTTGAATCTACACTACCTAAGGATGATTCCATATCAATATGACTAATTGTGGCTTTGTTGTTCTTGAGAAGAAAATTTTTAAAGAATTTTCCTATATATTCCTATGTAAAACTTTGATCCCCTATTGTGGCCCCACCCTACCCCCGGGGGTCATGATTTGAACAAACTTGAATCTACATTACCTGAGGATGATTTCATATCAAAATGACTAATTGTGGCTTTGTTGTTCTTGAGAAGAAAATTTTTAAAGAATTTTCCTATATATTCCTATGTAAAACTTTGATCCCCTATTGTGGCCCCACCCTACCCCCGGGGGTCATGATTTGAACAAACTTGAATCTACATTACCTGAGGATGATTTCATATCAAAATGACTAATTGTGGCTTTGTTGTTCTTGAGAAAAAGATTTTTAAAGAATTTTCCTATATATTCCTATGTAAAACTTTGATCCCCTATTGTGGCCCCACCCTACCCCCGGGGGTCATGATTTGAACAAACTTGAATCTACATTACCTGAGGATGATTCCATATCAAAATGACTAATTGTGGCTTTGTTGTTCTTGAGAAAAAGATTTTTAAAGAATTTTCCTATATATTCCTATGTAAAACTTTGATCCCCCATTGTGGCCCCACCCTACCCCCGGGGGTCATGATTTGAACAAACTTAAATCTACACTACCTGAGGATGATTTCATATCAATATGACTAATTGTGGCTTTGTTGTTCTTGAGAAGAAGATTTTTAAAGAATTTTCCTATGTATTCCTATGTAAAACTTTGATCCCCCATTGTGGCCCCACCCTACCCCCGGGGGTCATGATTTGAACAAACTTGAATCTACATTACCTGAGGATGATTTCATATCAATATGACTAATTGTGGCTTTGTTGTTCTTGAGAAGAAGATTTTTAAAGAATTTTCCTATGTATTCCTATGTAAAACTTTGATCCCCCATTGTGGCCCCACCCTACCCTCGGGGGTCATGATTTGAACAAACTTAAATCTACACTACCTGAGGATGATTTCATATCAATATGACAAATCATGGCTTTGCTGTTCTTGAGAAGAAGATTTTTAAAGAATTTTCCTATGTATTCCTATGTAAAACTTTGATCCCCCATTGTGGCCCCACCCTACCCCCGGGGGTCATGATTTGAACAAACTTGAATCTACATTACCTGAGGATGATTTCATATCAATATGACTAATTGTGGCTTTGTTGTTCTTGAGAAGAAGATTTTTAAAGAATTTTCCTATGTATTCCTATGTAAAACTTTGATCCCCCATTGTGGCCCCACCCTACCCTCGGGGGTCATGATTTGAACAAACTTAAATCTACACTACCTGAGGATGATTTCATATCAATATGACAAATCATGGCTTTGCTGTTCTTGAGAAGAAGATTTTTAAAGAATTTTCCTATGTATTCCTATGTAAAACTTTGATCCCCCATTGTGGCCCCACCCTACCCCTGGGGGTCATGATTTGAACAAACTTAAATCTACACTACCTGAGGATGATTTCATATCAATATGACAAATCATGGCTTTGTTGTTCTTGAGAAGAAGATTTTTAAAGAATTTTCCTATGTATTCCTATGTAAAACTTTGATCCCCCATTGTGGCCCCACCCTACCCTCGGGGGTCATGATTTGAACAAACTTAAATCTACACTACCTGAGGATGATTTCATATCAATATGACAAATCATGGCTTTGCTGTTCTTGAGAAGAAGATTTTTAAAGAATTTTCCTATGTATTCCTATGTAAAACTTTGATCCCCCATTGTGGCCCCACCCTACCCCCGGGGGTCATGATTTGAACAAACTTAAATCTACACTACCTGAGGATGATTTCATATCAATATGACTAATTGTGGCTTTGTTGTTCTTGAGAAAAAGATTTTTAAAGAATTTTCCTGTATATTCCTATGTAAAACTTTGATCCCCCATTGTGGCCCCACCCGACCCCGGGGGGTCATGATTTGAACAAACTTGAATCTACACTATGTAATGAAGGTTTCCCATAAGTTTCAACTTCTCTGGCCCAATGGTTCTTGAGAAGAAGATTTTTAAAAAAAGACACCAAATTTTCACTTATTCTTAATTATCTCCCCTTGGAAGAGGGCATGGCCCTTCATTTGAACAAACTTGAACCCCCTTCTTCCAAGGATGCTTTGTGGCAAGTTTGGTTGAAAATGGCCCAGTGGTTCTGGAGAAGAAGTCGAAAATGTGAAAAGTTTACAGACGGACGGACAGACGGACAGACGGACAGACGGACTACGGACAAAATGTGATCAGAAAAGCTCACTTGAGCTTTCAGCTCAGGTGAGCTAATGACATTTTGTCCGCTGATAATCTCAAGAATGACAAGAGATATCAATGTCAAACTTTCAGGGAATATATCAACTTGTATAAAATGCATAAATTTTTTTTTCATATCTCTTAATACTAATCTACGAAAACCTATTGGGATCAATCTATGAAGAAATTTTTTTAAGGCGTTATAATGCCTTTCTTAAAAGCATTATAACACCATTCGAAAAGGTGTTATTATGCCTTTCTTAAAAGCTCAATTATACATTTTCAAAAGGCATTATTACACCTTTCCAAAAGGTGTTCCTACGCCTTTTTAAAAGGCAATAATATGCCTGTCTAAAAGACAGTATTTGCCTTTTGAAGAGCCAAAATTATGCTTTTGATAGGCCTGTGCTTTTGAAAGGGGGGGGGGGGAGCAGCCTCCCAAAAAATTGACAAGCAAACCCCCCCCCCCCATCGCTCACCTGAGAACATAGGCTAGGCAAAAGCACAAATCAGTTCAGTATTGAAAAGAGGGGGGGGGGGGTTGAATTTTAAAATATGCAGCTAGGTTAAGGACGCCCATGAAATATACGCCTTAGTATATTCTTAGAAAATGAATACAATTTTAATATATTTTTAACAGCATTAGTTTTGATGAATGTGATTTATGGGGTTTGCACTTGTATAAATCGGGTCTCGGCTGAGTTCAGCCAAAGCGACATCGCTTACATCAGCTGTTTGTCACGTGACAGGTTTAAAATTAGAACATACATATACCACTACAAAGATCGTAAAAGTTCAACAATATACGGGCATCTTTCCGCTATAAAATTTATTCTGTTTTGTTTGAGACAAATTCCTTAACATGAAAAGTGCTGGGAGCAACTTCCTGATGCTCAGGAATTGTGTAAAATTTAGAGGTCTTTCTATAAACTCC